CCAATTCAATTTGTATGAAAAATGAACAGATGAAAAGTCAACTACAATAGACGGAATAATAAGGGACTTAAAACTAAGCAGGATAATAAGTGACACCGATATTGGCAGCATAACCAGATGAGGATTACCAGGCTGGCCTAAGCGTGGCAAACAATTGTTTCTGTGGGCACAGTTGGAGGTGAGGGACTTAATCTTACCGATGCATACCGCCTCGGTGTATTTCAGTATTCGCTCGTGATGGTTTGCATAGATGATATTCTTATGATTCATGAGCATTTGAACAGCGGCCTAATGCCCAACTGAAAGATGTCTTGCTTCCTCCTGACCTGTTTCATCCAACACCGTTCTTATCAATCATCTACGTTTTGCCTTGTTTCCCGATTTCGTAAGATATATCTTTGATGTTGAGTTGAGTAGGCGATCTCATCAGAAACTTCGTATCGTGTATGAGTGAATAAAAATATTGGTGCACTCGTCGCACACTACAGTGAGCATCCCTGTTGTCATTGTAAACACTTTTGGATACTTTCGGTGATAAACTGACTGTACTCATCGTGTCCTCTTCGTTATCAGTCGAGTGACGGGATATTCCTGCCATAGAATGATTTATTCATTAAGCATCGCCACCTGTTGCCTTTGCTCACTTTGATAGTGGTTGACAATGCAGTCAGTCTACTTGTGAAAAACATGTACTGGCTCAAAACAGTCTCCTTGTTATGTAGGATGCAATGCTGCTCATGAGTTAACCGTATCAATAGGAAACTGGGCGTCACAAACTCTCTACGCTAAGCTATAATCTGATGATTTGACAATTGGATATCTGCTGTTGTAGAACGGAATTTCAAAACATTGTGATACAAGTGTAGGTGGAATGAGTGTATGTGTCAATCCTGGGCACTCTGGCAGTGTGTTATTCCACATAAATTTGTTGATTGAATATATCACACACACAGAGAGTGAAACAGTATTATTATTATTAATACCTGGATAATGACGCCTTCCGAACAAAATATACTGTTCGAAGTCTAATCACTTATAACTACACGACTTTGAAACTTTCGTAGAATGAGGTTAGAATGCACAACTAGTGGTCGACTTATTGGTTGTTGTGCAACCGAGTGATCACTGATCACGCTAATTGCACTGCCCATACAAACTTCTCAGGAAGTGATATTAAAATACGTTACTGGTCATCTGCGCATGCACCAAGCACCCTTACCGTCTTCTATGCACACCTCTTGGCATACCACAATAATAATAATAATCACTTACTTCACTCCCTAACAGTACATTACGATACAGTGTGCAGTTCTCAGCATTTGGTACATTATTGCATCTTATTCACTCAGCAACATAAATGAAAGCACACTATATCGTATCTGTAGACAAAATTGATCATAACAGCTTTTCGGTATGATTAGTCGTAATAATAAAGTCAAAAATGTATGAAAAGTTTAAAATAATAGTAAGAATGCTAATAACTAATGTCCTGAGATAATTGAAATAGTATCAGCATAAATTACATATGGGAGGGAATCGAAGAGTCATTGATTATTGCCAATTCCATAGTAAGTTGAAAGTTTCGCGCCTAACACTTGCTCTGTCACATAGAACACGGGAGGGCTAAGTAGAGTATCGTTGAGTTCCTGTACTTCGTTTACGAGCAAATCATCTTCTATAATGACTTCTAGTCGGAAGTGATTAGATGCGAGGCGGGGAGAGTAGAGAATAGAGTTGGTAGTGAGGGTCAAACAATATGCATTTTGACCATTCCTCTCTCGAGTTCAAGTGTCTGTCGACTACAGTGTTAACTAGCTGACCTAGTGATGGAACACTACTTGCCATACCGACGAGCTTTAATATCCTTTGCCTCCATATGACTTAGTGGTTTTTGAGTAGCCCAGGGAAGACAAATTGGGAGCATTAAGCGACAACAGATAAGATGCATGAGATAAGAAATTCTACAAGTGGAGTTCCAGTGATTGCCTTCACTTCTCAATGTAGTGGTTCAGACGGAACATCCATCTCTCAGGGATCAACAAGACATGGCACTATCGAGGAAGGTCAGAGGAGAAAACTATTCCAAGGTATTCTACGCCTGACTTAGTTTGTATTTCAGTGCCCTCGATGGAATGGGCATTGTGTGGGCGAACCCGTTCATGGAGATCACGTAGATCACGGATAATCTTTGTATTAGAACAAGACATATAAGCGAACAATATTGTTTTCAATTAGATCTTCAGTCTTTACTCTAATTTACATAGATTTATATATAAAATTTTAACCAATGACGGTGATTTTGGGAATCAAATAATAATCTTAATAGTCTTAATAATAATAATAATGTGGTAAATGTTTTGAACGTAGTTAATAACGATGATTATAATGATAACAAAATATTGATAATAAGGTTTATGCAGGTGATAAGAATAACCAAGATAGTATATGTATATAAGTGTATAAATAAATTGGGTCAAATCTTAAAGGGTGAAGTGGAACGATAATCAGAGTTTAAACAAATATTATAAAAGTACAAAGGAGGTGGAAAATAAGAAAGGGTGGGAGAGTTTTGAATACAGTTCACCTAGGCCAAGGGAGAGACAAAGGTAGAACAAACTTCTTTTGTATGCAAAGACTAGGATTGTTCTCTCGAATTCCCATAGCTTCGGCTAGGTGTAAAAGACGGTTTCTGATTCCATTCGAAAGACTCGATGGAATACGATAGATAACTTTGAAAGCACTATTTTTGTCCACTTGGTGACCGCTATCAATCAAATGAGCCAAAATAGAACTTCATATGGATTTTATTTGACCTTTTCCGAACCATGAAGGAAGATGCGCATTAATGCGTTTGTTCAGCTGTCTAGTTGTTCGCCCTATATAGCTTTCTCCACAGGAGCAACTAAATTTATAGATACACATCGAAGTGGCACAACTAGGTAGCTTATCTTTCACTTGAGCAACCAAAATTGGTCGGCTGGAAAATGACAAACAAAGGGTGGCGGCAGTATAAGTCCGTTTTATCGCTCTTGATAATCTCAGATGTAAGACTTCACTAGCCAGGTTCCCATTAAATTGAAGTTTCATGAACAGTTCTTTCTTTTTAACTGTTGTCAGTTTTTCTTTGTTGTACTTGGTATTCATGTGTCTCCTAACAAATCTACTAGGATAACCCATTTGGACCAGCGTATTTTGGATATATCCTAGCTCATTTTCTAGGGAGTCATCTGTACAAATACGTCTTACTCTATTCGTAAGGCATCTGACCAAATTGATTTTATATCGGATTGGTACAAAACTGAGGAAATGTGCATACTGTCCTACAGATGTAGGTGTCATGCATGCCTGACATGTTGTAAATCCACCAGTTAATTAATTAATTAATTGATTCATTGAATTTCCTACTTCCTGATTAGTACTTTGAACAACCAACTAACTGACTGATGCATTTCTTTTAGAAACCAATGGAAAGTTATACAAGGGAGTATTTTGCCTCGAAGCTGTATAAATGGTTTCCGGAATCAGATATTCCAATGAAACGACTCCTTATCCGCGATCTGATCTTTACGTGCGCATCGAGATGATAGTCTTTTCAGTAAAGATCTTATCATCATTCTAATTTTAATAAGAGGTAGATGTAACACCACAGACTGCTGCTGTTTTTCCGTTCACTTAGTGTTAATATTTTTTCACATGTAGATGAAAATGTGAGTGTTGTTGATGTGACTAGTAAACTTTCTACTCTGTCTATGTCTATGTGGACTGCATTCAACATAGAAGTTTGCACCGATGTACAGCAGCAGCAGTTCGAGTCGCCACACCTCACTCAGCCAGAGAATAAAGTGAAAAGAAACGCAAAATAGAGACAGTAATGAGAGATGTGGGGCAAAACGAATACTAATGTCAAAGACTAACATAGTTTTATTGTAAATTCTAAATCACAAGGAGTGGATGCATCTGCGCCAGCCATTGAGAACAGTTTTCAGCCCTATCACCAAATGTGTTCAGCCATTGGTTTCTACCGTCCCGAGGACCGCAACCAGGAAGTCTACACCTTCCTACGTGGCTTAAACTGACTCTTGTGTCTATGTAACTGATTAACTGACTTAATAACTACTGCAGCCTTGTGATCTTAACTGATGATGCTGGTAGTAGCTACAAGTGGAATAAAGAAAAAAATGAAACGTGAGAACAACCATGAATCGGTTATCAAGAAGAAAGCAGGCAGATTCAGTTGGAGAAACCACATTATATTACTATTATTATTATTCGTGTTGGATTCTGAGGAGAACATGGGTCATTGACAGCACATCTCGATTTCATCCTGTTTTCTGCGGTCCCCAATATCTGGCTCATAAGCCTTCATCTCCTCACAACACGGTCTTCTCCATGTCAGCCTCGGTCCTACGCATAACTCGTCGTCTCTTATGTGGGTTCAACCCGCGTATCTGGATGGCTCATATGCCTTTCTCAAATGTGTGCAGAGTGCGCCTGATCCGCCCCGTCAGGTTAATAGCTTCTTGAATGGTTCTTCTGCAGAGTTCTTTGTTGTTTGTCCATCCATTGTGGCCGGTCCTGTGATCTAACTAAGTTGTATTTGGTGTCCGGTGTTTTCTCATTTTCAACGACCCTTTAATTGATGCACGTTTCTGACAAAATCTACCTGAAAATTGTTTTCTATAGTATTTTGAGATTGGTTGGTTTTGTTTCTCTTATACATTCTTATCCTCGATCAATTACTTCATTGCTGGAAAATATGATCCAGTAGAGCGACAAGTGACTTCCTGGGATATCCTATTGGCAAGCGAGTTGAATCTCAAATTACACAAAAAGCGATCAAACTCATATCACACTGTCTGAAAATGACTAACCCTATCACTGCTATATTAGTAATAATAATAATAATAATAACTTATTATTTATTTTATAAACAGTTAGTTTCTGTTGCATTTCTGTTCTTATTTTTTGTTAATTTGTTTCTCTATTTTTCTTTGTGTTAGTAGGGTGAACTCAGTTTGCGCAGATTTTGCGGACATTTTTGTGTATTTGATTTTGCCTCTACTCACTGATGATAACTGACTGACCAGAGTTGTCCGATCACCACCATCACCGCTTGACTAACCCATTCATGATCTCATGATGATGATTATAATGATGATGATGATGATGTGTTTGGTTTAGTGTCGTGTCGTGTTGTGTTGTGTTGTGTCAAGTTGTGTGATGTGATGTGATGTGATCTGAACACTATTTTTTTGTACTCCAGATATTGTCAATAATGGTCTTATTACTGTAACTATTGCCAGGAATAAGATTTGCTTGCAAATGCCTTTTGTAAATCTTGAATGTATTTTTTCTGACTGTCGAAACATCTCAACAAGAAGAAGAACCACAAGAACAACACTTTTGGATATAAGAATGACTTGTTTTCTTTCCTTTTCTCAAACGGGTGGGTGGAGATTATACAAATTGAATAGAATTGAGGCACATGAAGTATATGCCATGTTAGGAGAATAAGGAGGAGAGAATCCTCCTCTCACAAGTGAGTAGTTATTTCTCGGGAGGATGAAAATGTCTTTTTCGTGATTCATTTGATAACATGATTGTGTCTCTATTGCATACTTGTCTCACGAGGTCTCCTGATGCTGCACGAATGTTCACAACACGATTACCACAGCTCTCCTCTATGAAATATGTGCAAGGGAATAGGGGAAACTATGAATTAGTTTGCCATGACTGTCTGTTTGTCTCTTTCTTGGTTCGTTTGTTTGTCTCTTTGTCCGTTTGTTTGTTTGTTTGTTTCAGTGGAGAGTACATGAGTGATTAGTGAGAAGAAGACGAGACTGTTAGAAGAAATAGGTTGTGATATGGACTACACTAGCAACTTGCTGTTCTATGGTAGTGGCAGTTTCAATCAGAGACTAAATCTGACTGACTGACTGACTGGTGAAAGGACATGGAAGTTTTTTCTGTATGTGTAATTTGATCAAGAGACGTGATGTGCTCAGGTCGGAATATCTCCAGCCAATAGGTGAGTGCAGTGCATGATAAACAGTTAATAGCTCCAGTGACAAGGTAGATGGACACAGTGAATCTCATTTAATATTTGTACTCATCACTGACTGACTAATTGGTTCGCTTATGAAAGTTGCCTTACAAGGTGTGTGTGTGTGTGTGTGTGTGGAAGGAAGATTGTTGGCACAATGTACTCAGAGTGGAGGTGAGTTGGAAAGTCAGTTAGTCAGAGACAGGGAGAGACAGACAGAGACAGATACAGATAGACAGAGAGAGAGAGAGTGATAGGCAGGCAGACAGACAGGCGGAAAAGTCTGAGTGATGAGTGTTGTTGACTGTTTTCGTTGCAATTTCTTCTAATTGAAGTGTATGTATGAGGAGGATATATGTGCTGCTGATGTTGTCATGGTGACATTTTCCTCCCACTGAGTGAGTTGTGATATAGTCAGTGGGCATACACATCTATACTCATCTATACTTATCATGCATAGACTATTGAGATTATACTCCTACATTTACAGGAAACAATCATCACCATCATCGTGATCGTGATCGTGACCGTCGTTGAAAGAATAAAGGAATACACTGTTGCAGACATTTGTGCACCTACGTTACAATCAGTCTCTCTCTCAACAGTATCCATCTTTGTTTCTTGTGAAGTACACAGAGTGAGCGAGAGCGCGCGCGAGAAAGAGATAGACAGAGAGGTGTAGATAAGAAGTATAGGGTTGGCTGACACATCTTGATTTGTCTACTGTTGCGTCGTCTCGCCATGTGCGTTGAGCTGAAAAACGGCAACAGTCTATTCCTATATATAGTATCTTCAGTAGACAGAAGATTGTTCCGTTTCTCGATTAAATCACACATTGGTGGTATGGAATTTCTGTTGACAGTTGACTTTTGAAATATTGGATATTGAAAGGAGCGGCAGTAGTTAAGCGTGTGGTGAATAAATGCATCGGTTGCCGAATCAGGTCTGCAAAACCTACTGAACAAGTGATGGCAGAATTACCCATAGCAAGGGTCACGTCAGATTTTCCATTCTCTAGCACCGGGGTAGATTACTTCGGCCCCTTTATCGTTAGGCGGGGGCGGACTACAGACAAAAGATATGGATGCATATTCACTTGTTTGAAAACTCGAGCGGTTCACTTAGAAGTAGCTTACGCTCTTTCTATCGATTCATTCCTAATGATGCTTTCAGGCTTTACCAACCGCAGGGGGACTCCAAGGGAGATATACAGTGACCGGGGTACAAACTTTGTGGGGGCTGATCGTGAGTTACAGCACAGCAAGTTGTGCCACAATTAGACAGTGATTGTATGATGAGAGCTATGACAAATCGTGGTATAGAATGGAAGTTAAATCCACCTTATGCTAGCCACCGTGGCGGAGTATGGGAGAGGTTGATCGGAAGCGTACGTCGAGTGTTAAGCGCAGTCTCGAAGGAGCAAGTCCTCACAGATGAATCACTCATGACCTATTTGACAGAAGTAGAAAGGATACTAAATAGCAGGCCGCTAGTACCTGTTTATGATGACTGAAGTCAGTTGGATGTGCTGACACCAAATCATATTCTCTTATCAAGAAATCCTGAACAGGTTCCTGAAATCGACGCTAGTTTATGTGGACGTTACTCACGACGATGGAAACAAGGGCAACTCCTTGCCGATACGTTTTGGAGACGGTGGAAGCGGGAGTACTTGACGACCTTACAATCGCGTGCAAAGTAGTGGGTTCAACGACATCGAAACTTACAAGTGGGAGACCTAGTACTAGTGACTGCGGAGCCTTCACCTCGCAATCGTTGGTCAATGGGAATAATTACAGGTGTTACGGCAAGCTGTGATGGCTGGGTATATCAGAAAAGTGGATATCAAGACACCGAGGGGTATAGTCAACCGAGATGTGCGTAAGGTTTGCCTATTAGATATTGATGTATTGAGGAGAGATGAGCACTTTGTAGGATATATAGCTGGATAGTGGATGCAGATGTGGTGAGAGTAAATTGTACCATTTCTGTGTCTTACTAGCAGGTAGAGTAGGGAAAACCAGGCTGGTCTTAAGGGGACGGTGTTAATTCCTTTCCTACCTGCTCATTCTCAATCTTTCCTTTGTTCAACATTATACTACTTGCCATTAGTAAGTAGTATGATTTAATATGTTAATTTATATCAATGACATTTGCCTACAACTGCAGTTAAATTACTTGTTCTATTATCATTCTATTAATATATAGTTGTTATTTTTCTTCTCCTGAAACATTATTTGCTGACCTTGCCCTACAGTGTATGCTTTCCTATTGGAAGTTGTTTGTTCATATTTGTTTATTCTTTGCTTGGCATTCGCGGGCCGTTTGAACCGACACGTGGATCGACCTTGACACAGCATTGCTGTTTTTACTTATTGACTCTGCACAGTGGTTGTGCATTTGACGGCATTTAGCCACAGACACCTCACATTTTGAGGTTTGTATATTATATATCTAATTTTATGTAATAAAATACCGTATTGCAGAATATCCGGTATTTCGGACTTTACACGTCACTCTACGTGTGGTTAAATCTATAGTTTGGATTATCGTTTCGGATTTCTTTCGGGAGAAATTCACAGTACTCAAAATGTGAGGTGTCTGTGGCTAAATGCCGTCAAATGCACAACCACTGTGAAGCTGTGAAAAAACATATTAGAGGAAATAAAGTTGGAACTAAGTGATGTTTATCTATGGACAGATTCTATGATTGTGTTAAGCTACATCCGCAATACCACATCCCGCTTCAAAACCTACATAGTTAACAGAGTAGGGTTTATACTTGATCACACTACGCGGCCTCAATGGCGACATGTACCAACTAATATGAATCCAGCTGACCTTGCTTCCAGGGGAATAAAGATGAGTGAGTACGAGCGTATACATACCTGGCTTGATGGTCCTGGATTTCTCAAAAATCCTAGAAAGGATTGGCCGAATTTCGATGGAAAAAGCATGCCAATGATTCCATCTGACATAAAGCTAAAGCAAGCCACCATCTTAACGACACAAACAGCCGTAAATCCGATAGACACCTTATTCTCGTATTTCTCTTCTTGGACAAAACTTCGTAGAGCGGTAGCCTGGTTAAAAAGGTTTAAAGTTTTTCTACTAAAACGTGTAGTGCAAGGCCCTTTACAAACGTGTGAGATGTAAGAGGCAGAGATAGATATCCTTAGATACGTGCAAAAACAAGAGTTCGGTAAAATCAAAGGAGTTATGTGTGAACGCTATTTGGATAGTAAATACAAGCCACTCCTTCAACGTATCAAGAAACTGCATCCTGTCATCTTAGGTGACTTGATATGTGTCGGTGGACGACTGAATAATAGTCAACTGTCAAGTTCGGAAAAACATCCAGTTATATTGCCAGGAACTCATCCTGTCACGGAGGTTATTGTTCGTTGTTATCATGAGACTGAAAGACATATGGGAGTAGCCCATCTTTTGTCAGCATTGCGTATGAAATATTGGATATTGAAAGGAGCGGCAGTAGTTAAGCGTGTGGTGAATAAATGCATCGGTTGCCGAATCAGGTCTGCAAAACCTACTGAACAACTGATGGCAGAATTACCCATAGCAAGCGTCACGTCAGATTTTCCATTCTCTAGCACCGGGGTAGATTACTTCGGCCCCTTTATCGTTAGGCGGGGGCGGACTACAGACAAAAGATATGGATGCATATTCACTTGTTTGAAAACTCGAGCGGTTCACTTAGAAGTAGCTTACGCTCTTTCTATCGATTCATTCCTAATGATGCTTTCAGGCTTTACCAACCGCAGGGGGACTCCAAGGGAGATATACAGTGACCGGGGTACAAACTTTGTGGGGGCTGATCGTGAGTTACAGCACAGCAAGTTGTGCCACAATTAGACAGTGATTGTATGATGAGAGCTATGACAAATCGTGGTATAGAATGGAAGTTAAATCCACCTTATGCTAGCCACCGTGGCGGAGTATGGGAGAGGTTGATCGGAAGCGTACGTCGAGTGTTAAGCGCAGTCTCGAAGGAGCAAGTCCTCACAGATGAATCACTCATGACCTATTTGACAGAAGTAGAAAGGATACTAAATAGCAGGCCGCTAGTACCTGTTTATGATGACTGAAGTCAGTTGGATGTGCTGACACCAAATCATATTCTCTTATCAAGAAATCCTGAACAGGTTCCTGAAATCGA